AGGATTATAAAATTTTAGTAAAATTAGAACAAGTTTTGAGCGACTAAAAAATCGTAGTGATATTAATTTTTTTTTTTTATGAAGACGTTTTGTGCTTTTTCCCATATCAGCATGCATTTTTTTTTTCTGAAGAATATGCGCAAAAACTTTCGCTAATAAAATTAGAAAAAGTCAATGCCAGTTTTCCTAAATTTCGCTTTTTATATGAAAAAAAAAACCGAAAAAGCCGTGAGCAAAAAACATTACTAAAAATCAATGCGATATTTTAGCCATCCAAAACTTGCTCGGCCAAACACTAACATATGTGTAAACGCCAATCTATTATTATTATTATTAAAACTTGCCCTAATTTTACTAAAATTTTATAATCCTATTAACAGCATACCCAAAAACTTTTTAAAAGTTCTGGTTAAAAAGCTCGAAATTTAGATACAAATTTGTGGAATTTTTCTAAATGCTGTATAAAGTTTGAAAATGTGATTTATAGGGCTGTTGTTGAAGCATAGACCATACTTTTATAAAAAAATATCAAAGAAATTTTAGCTTTGAAAACATTGTAAATATTAAAAACGAAACAGCATTCATCAATTTTTCACCGCCACTGTAGGTATGTATGTGCTTAATTATTGAATAAAACTATAAAAACAATACAAAACATGCAGTATTTTTAGGCGAACACCAGCTAGTTAGTGCAAACTGTCAATCTAATGCAGAAAATAAAGCTTTTGCATAGCTTAAACTAACATTAACAAATGTCAAAGCTTAAATATACGAGTATTTAACAGATTGAAATCTTTGCTAATATTATTATCTAGTTGACTTGCTTAAACTGTTAGCTCGAACTAAGCTTAAAAGCTCCATCTTAACTTTTCTAGCCAATTTAATTTATGTATTCATTTAAACATTGGGACCGTTTAATTTTTAACGCATAAATTATGTAAATAAATGTCTCGTCTTTTCATAAACCAAGTAAAACTATTTCGAAGGTTGTGTCATTTGAAGCGATTAATCATGGTCACTCATAGTACTAATTGTAAACAAAAGGTTAATGAACCAAAAAAAATTGTCACTCAAAATAGATTTCCATAGCTTAAGGCTGACCTCAAAAAATTAAGAAAAAAAGTAAATACGAACAACTACGGGGCGTAGAAAAATTAATGAGTTTTCTCATTGATATAAAGGTAGTGTTGGTCAAATAAATTTTTGTTTATATCTTAAAATGTATTTAAATAAGAGGTTCAAGGTAAATGGTTATAAAAATGGATGAACAAAAATTTATTTAACCAAAAATGCGGAGCGAAATAAAAATATTATATCAACATTAAAGGAAATTACTTATATTTAAGTATAACGAAAGCGTCAGATGAACATAAAGTTGGATTTAGAAATTCCAGAATTTTTATAGTTCACACTATTCGAATCATTGTACTCCATTGCCGGTACACCAAGTTGAGGCAATAGACACATAGACTTAAATATATTAATATTAACATATTTGTAGGTCAATCCATGTTAAATAGACCTATGGTTAGAATCGACCATTTTGGATTTGGATGAATTTTAGTCAGAGCTTTTCTTTTATTAAATAACGAAGTTCTGCCAATGGAAAAAGCTCCCTCGTCAAAAATGACACTGTAGATGGCATAACGCCGAAACTAGCTTGTTTCCAAATTAAATTTGACAAAAAAGTGAAATTCGTTGACAAATACATCACAAACCCCCCCTGTCGGAAAGAAAAAAACTTAAGAGAAAATAATTATACAAAATTCTATATTTTACAATTTCCAGGATTTTGCAAGTTTATTTCTTGAATACCTTAAAAACCATCAAAGTTTCAAATAGTTAGCGCCCTGGTCTCATTTTAAAAGTAATGTTTAGGGCTATAAAGAAAAAAAATTATACAAAAAACATTCGAAAAATTAAAAAAGCGTAAAAGCAGAAACTTATACAAATTTGTTGACTAATTTTTTTTTACAATACTTTTAACTGATCTTAAAAGATCATACAATTTTCAAGGCGTTTTCTTAAGTTATTAACTTTGTAACTTTGACAACAAAAAATTGTTTGGCAAACTTTAAATAAAGTAATGTTAAACAATTTTTTAATATAAATTTATAAATTTAGAGAGAGAAAAATTTTTCAAAAATTCGTATCTTAAAAAACACCAGTTATAGGTTTTGTATAAAAAATGGTGCAAAAATTTTTTGCTTTTTTTGCTTTTGAGTTTTTCTGCATTTCAAAAATCTGTAATTTTTTTACTTCTCGAATATTTCTGTAATATACTTTCTTTATATCACCTTTAAAACGAGCGATATTTAAAATCATGTATGTAATACTTCTATATTGGCAGTAAGCTAACTTCTCAATGTGTAAGCATTCCGAAATCAAAGCGAGACAGTCTAGTACCGTTTTTGTCAATGTATTGTGTACTTGAGTGGTGTTTTTGTATATGTGTTATGTACATGTTTATTTATAAACGTTGTGTTCCATTTCTTCCGTACGTGTTTATTGATATATCTGTACTGTAGTGTTTTCGAACGGTACTAGCTCTTACTGCCAATATAGGAGTATTACATATATGTTTAAAATACAGAATTGGGGACATGATGAAGTTTTGAACTTTCAAAAAAAAAGAGAAAATTGTTTTCCTTTGGCAGAATTTTGTTGAATGATAAAAAAAGAAAAGTTCTGACCAAAATTCATACAAACCTAATTCGATCGCTCGACGTGCTTTGCACCTCCTCCAATGGCTTGTCTGCGCTAATGACCGCGACCGCCCAGTCATTCATGGGTATTTCTGGGTTTTGCTGCGGTAGAAGGCTCGCAAACGCATATGTGTGTACGTATGTACTTAAAAATACAAATCGCTAAAATCGAGTCTCGGAATAAGGCTATCAGGATTTTCAAACAGAGAGCATTGACTAATCTCGAACCACCTCTACGTAAGAGGCTTGGCGCTGTCTGCGACCTCATTGACGAGCGCGACCTAAAGGTGATTCCTGGCCACCTCGCAGTACCGGCGTTTCGCCATTGGTTCCTCTCTCTAAGGAGCTATTTCTAGGTCAAATTTTTCCAACTAGTGTCGCTAGAAAATCGTCATTCGGTCAACTGCGTTTCGCCATCTGAATCTGTCTCTAAGTTGTTTACCTCCGGTACTTCTTCACCACCTCTTTGCATTTGCCATCTTTCTCATATTTGGGCTGTACAGTGCCGGCCGCAGCATTCTTGGTAATCTTGTCAAAAATGAAGACTCTGAAAATACTTGGCTTTACTCTGTTCTGGCTTCGGAATGATCACGATTCTGATTCCTTCTCGGCGCTTAGGATGCCTACGGAGACATCTCTACGATCTTTTTTTTTATTTGTTTCTTTCATTATACCCGAGCGCACTTGTGCACAAGGGTATATTAATTTTGTTCACATAACGGTTGTTTGTAACTTGTTTTTTTTTTTTTCTTCCCACGAGTATGCACAGAAGTGGCAGTCAACCCTGGTATAACCGGTATACCTTGTTACGACGCTTGTTACAACCAATCTTGCCCATGCTGGCTACTCATCGTTCGGCACGTGCTCCACAGCACTGGCTTATGCTGACGGCGGTCAAAATGAGGATGATTGGGTTGGTGACGTAGTTGCGCACTTCTGCGCATTGGAACAGCGGACACTCCAATCCCTATCCAACTTTCGGATGAGAAATAGTTGACTCCCGCTCTAACTATGCCCAGTACCATATTCAATAAAGAACAAACTTTCCCTATTTGGATAAATGAATTCAAGGATTTCTTATGTGATTTTTACGGTTTTGTTTATGGAACTTTTCGGGTTTCTCACGAATTTTCGGAATTTTCCAGTTTTTCGAAAATCTTTCGTGTTTTATTTGCGATAAAATCAAAAAAAAAAATACTCTTATTGCAAGATAAAAAATTTGCTCTTATACCGAAATCACTGTACCGAATCACACAGCAGTTTACTAGCCTTCGGCGTACGCCGCATCTCATTAACTTTAATATTCATTCAAAATTTTTAATGATTTTTTAATCGCCTGATACGTCTACAAATACAAAAACACCTGCATTTTTGGCAGCGCAAGGTTTCGAAATACATACTTAAATGATTTATCTCGGTTTATAGATTCATTGTGATTTCCTCTGTTGCTTTTGTTTACATTTTACGCATTTCGCCTTACCAATTGCATATTTTAGATAATTGGCTTGGTTTGCATCGCCATAAAGGTGATTAATAAATTTTAGTTTGTCTGAGATTGGCATTTATTTACTGCTATTTAAATGGAACCAGTATTTAACGACGCGCTGTGTTTTACTCAGAATTTTAGTATTAAAATATAGTTCGTTGGTAATTTGAGGCAGTGAGCGTCAAATTGGTGGGAATTTCCGAAATTGCTTCTATTATTTTTATTTATTTATTTTTTGGTTTTAAAAAAGTAGTGGGAATAAATCTTAATAATTTTTTTATTAAAAAAAATCATAGCACTACAAATTTAACAACAACAAAGGCAACAATAATAATAACTTAACATAATTGCTTACCACAATAACTATTTTGTGTTTCTACAATACTAAAATCTATCACATTAAAACACATGAGGCACCAACATACTAAAATACATATAAAAGTTTTTATGCTTCCGTATAAAAAACTCGCCAACGCGCATAAGAAACGAAATAAAATTAGGCTTTAGTGCAAAACACACACACAAAAGAGGAAAGAAGGCCAAGAGGTCAATGCGCCAGACACGCTGCCATTTCAAAAAACGACGACGACGACGACGACAGCTTTGCGCGCTTTTGACCTCCTGACATGCTTTATGGCTTTATTGAGCAATGCGCAGCACGCAACACGCCATACGCGAACTCAATAGCTACTTCTCCGCTTCTTCTTCTTCTTCTTCTTCTTCTTATCCTGCTGCTTTGTCTTCTTCATATAACTCCCCCCCTTTCATGCCATCTCCCTTCAACTGCGCATACATTGATCTCACGCGCCCTTCCACATTTAACCAGCCAGCGATTGCAACGATTTCGGTGATAATTTACGATTTTTCGCATTGCCTCTGGCACGCATGCGCAGGGCCGTACGCTCTGCTGTTGCACGCTCATCAGACTTGTAGATGCTGCTGCCGCCAGAGTTTGGAATGTAGCCGACCTCAGTGCGTCGTGTACCATCGATCAGCTGGTAACTGCGGTTGGGAGACAAGAAAATGAAATTGAAAATTTTGTAATCCTTTCATTCTCAGAATTGATAGCGCATATTATGTAATGGGTGAATGTACATACATACATACGTAAATATGTAGCTGATGTCAGCGTGTCAGATACTTACGAGAAGCGGTAGCCATCACGCGTGGGCACATACTCAAAGTCACCCAAGAAGATTTTTGGCAAATTTATTGCCAACAACGGATTATTGCTGGTTTGAGGTGCATTGTGTCTGTCATTGCTGTTATTGTGAATGTGGTTGTTGTTGTTGCTGTTGCTCTGTATGTTGTTGTTATTATTGTTGTATCGGTTGAAATTGCCATTTTGATTATTGTAGCCGCCATAGTGACTGCCGTAATGCTGCTGACCATCAGGATAATATGCCTCACTACAGTGTAGCAGGAATGCGGCCAACGCCAAGAACTGCAGCTGCAGAATGAAAAAAAAAAATTTTTTTAAAAAAATTTTTTTTTTTTTGATACACGTTCACAAAACCTAATGCACTCCTTGCAAAATGCACACTTCCTACTTTGCACTTACAATTTTTGAATCAATCATTTTCTTCCAACAATTGCTACTGTTCCTCTGCGCTGTCGCAAACAAAATGATTACAATGTGGCGCACAAATTTCTATTGTAGCCAAAAAATATTTCAAAAATCAACAGCGCAACACTTATGCATGTCTTACGAGTAGAGTAGTTAAATTGGTTTGCTTATCCGCCGCATAGAAGCTAGATGAAAAAAAAAAACAAAAAAAATGCAAACGAAAAAAGTACCGAAAATAATCGAAGCAATAAAACAAGCAAAACATTTCAGCGCGCACAGATAATAGATAGCCAAAGACAGCAATAATTACGGCTGGCACAGCTGTTGCTACTACTACTACCGCTTACTATAACGTTGGCGTCGAAGA